AAAGTCTGTTTCGACTATCAAGGCACCCTGGAAATAGCAGTTCCCAAGAGAGTTACACACATAAAAAAGAAGTAGAGGAAAATGACGAAAGTAAGGACGAGGATAGAAAAAGCAGCAGTCCCCCCTATGTTGTTACGGCACAGTATGAGCATGACATTGTAAATCAGCCCATTTACAATTTTACTGTGCAAAAGAACATGTTAATATCCCCCGGTTGGGAATGGCCTAAAGAAAACTTCAGTCAGAGAGAGAGAGAGAGAGAGAGAGAGAGAGAGAGAGAGAGAGAGAGAGAGTTCATGCCCATGGACACACATGTGCGTGTGAGGTGTGCATTGTTGTTTGTGTGTCAATGTGTATGATTGTAATAAGTAAGCCTTCGTTTCCATGCTGGTGCTTAAACTTTTTTTTATGTACCTACCTGTGCCTAAACATTTCCCATTTGCATTAATAAATGTATCTATCTTATCATATTTGGTCTTCAAGTTTCATACTTCTACTGTGCAAACTTTGAGACTATACAGAATATTATCTTGTCGAAACGCCGCATGCACTACGCGACCAATCAATCATCAATAAATACGTTTTACGCCCCCATCAACACAATTTAGATCAATTTAGGAGGCAGGGTTCAAACCCTATCGGGGGCAACCCGGACTGACAGTTACTGTCACTGATCCCATAATCCACGAATTATACGGGGTGCCAACTACGGCTGGATCGGGCCGATCGCCCAACTCGGTCGCCTGAAACTGAAAACAAACACGTTTGTTTTTTAGGTGACCAGAGTCGGGCGATCGGCCGATCCCAGCCGTAGTAGGCACCCTGTAGGCGCAGAATGGCAGAGAACCGCGTCAGGTGCCTCCACTTTTCATGGAACTTTTTTGCGAGAAGGATTTCCCTGTCCACTTAGGCAATGTTGTCGGTCCATCCACCTCTTCCTTTGCCTTCCCTGAAGAATAGTCTTGGAAAGGCCAAGAGAGATCTTGTTACATGGCCATAGCATGCCAGGTTACTTCGCTTCACAGTAGACAGCAAGTCTTGACTCGTGTGTCGTTTCACTCTTTTTTTTTTTTTTTTTTTTTTTGGGCAAGTGTTATACGGCGCTCGCAACTGTATAAGATCATGTGAGCACGCGAGACACACCAAACATTTTCAATTGGTAGGAAATTTTGAATTTTGCCCGGATGGCGGCCGAAACCTACTCAAATGCGGGGTGCCCACCACGGCTGGATCGGGCCGATCGCCCGACTCGATCGCCCGACTCGATCGCCCGAAACTGAAAACAAACACGTTTGTTTTTGAGGAGATCGAGTCGGGCGATCGCCCGATCGGCCGATCCCATCCGTAGTGGGCACCCCGTATTATCGATTTAGGACCACCAAGGGATCTTTAACGAGCGCAACTTGCACATGGGACCTCCGATATTTTTCGCCTTTGTCCGAGAAGGCTAGGAATAGGTGTAGTTCTTTCCTACCAGAAGATCAGGGGTGTGTCTGAAAAACAGCAGTAATAATAATAATAATAATAATAATAATAATAATAATAATAATAATAATAATAATAATAATAATAATAATAATAATAATAATAAAATATTATATAACCTTTATATAGCGCATTTCCAAAAAAGTAGCTCAATGCGCTTAACATTGGAATACCCATTTTTCAAAAACCTTTCTTACTACTTCCTTCCTTCTCATGCGATATACATTAATGCACACACACACACACACACACACACACACACACACACACACACACACACACACACACGCACACACACACACGCACACACACACAGACTATTTTCATCCAGACATAGGAACAGAACAACTATACAGAAAAATAACGTTAAAAGCTTATGAATGATAGGCCTATAGGAACAGAAAATGTTTAAGATGTCTTTTGAAGCTATCAAGTGTTTTTATTTGTCTTAGTAAGAAGAAGCCAAGGAGTAGCAGTAGAAATGCAGCAGAAAGAAAAAGGAGCCCAGTCTAGGGGCAAACACTTACAAAAGCAAAAAAGGAGGTGAGGAGGTGGGTGGAGAAAGTGGAGAAGACGAAACAGACGATAGAACATCGCAAGAGAGAAGGAAAGAAGGTGAAAGGAGACAATTTTAGAGAAGAAAGTTCTTCACTCCTGGGTTTCTTTTTTTAACTCCTTGTTTCCCTCTATCAAACATCTGCGGGGGCTCTCGTGGTCAAGGTGTTTGCCTCTCATTCAATAGGTCCCGGGTTCGAATCCGGACAGCGACGGAAATTTTTCATCTCTACAATTTTCTCATTTCACCCCCTTTCCAGCTCTCGTACCATATTCTGTCATCTGCTTTCGTCTCCACTTTAAGCCAAATCCCCCTTCCCCTCTCCCCTTTGCCCCCTCCTCTGGGCTCCTGACTCTTTCTGCAGCCTTTCTCCTGCTACTCCTCGGCTTCTTCTCATTGCTGTCTTTGATCCACACCCATGGTCTTATGGGAGGTAAGATCCAACACCTTGCCTTCTTGGATAAGGGCCGAAAATCCCGGAGGCCCCGTGTGCAAGTTGCGCACGTTAACGATCCCTAGGTGGTCCTAAAATCGATGAGAGTAAGCTTCGGCCACCACCAGGGCAAAATTCAAAATTTGCTACCAACTGAAAATGTTTAATATGCCCCCCATGCTCTTATGACCGCATGCAGTTGCAAGTCGTAAAACACATACAAAAAAAAAGCAAGCAAACATCTACAGTACTTATCTTTCTCCTTTTTCTTTGCAACTTTCTAGATATTGTAACAGATCTAATCGTTGGAACTTTTTGACTGACGTATTTGTGTTGTCAGTGTCCTTAAACTATTACAAAGGGGGCTCTCGTGGCCTAGAGGTTAAAGTGTTCGCCTCTCATTCAAAGGTCCTGGGTTCGAATCCGGGTAGCGACGGAAAAAAATGTTCCCTAAAATTGTCTCCTTTCACCACCTCCTTTCCTCCTCTCTAGCAATGTTACACCCTCACATCCGTTGCCACCCCCCCCTCCCCGGGCTCCTAACTCTTTCTGCAGCCTTTCAACTGCTACTCCTTGGCTCCTTCTTACTGCTGTCTTTCAGCCACACCCCTGATCTTCTGGTAGGAAAGATCTTCACCTAACCTTCTCGGACAAGGGCGAAAAATCTCGGAGGTCTCGTGTGCAAGTTGCGCACGTTACAGATCCCTTGGTGATCCAAAATCGATTAGTAGAGTAGGCTTCGGCCGTCACTCGGGCAAAATTCAAAATTTCCTACCAACTACTAATTGAGAATGTTTGGTGTGTCCCGTGCACTCATATGACCTTATGTAGTTGTGAGCGCCGTAAAACACTTACCAAAAAAAAATCTTACCAAAAATTATACTCCAAATATTAACAAAAGCCGTTTGACTTATTATTTGTGTCGCCAGTGTCATTAAACTATTACTACTACAATTTATATTTCAATTATCAACAAAGGTCACGCCGGCGTCTGTAGCGTAGCCGTTAGGGGAGAATTCTTATTGAACATCTCAGTCTTTCTGTTGGGACGTAGTAGCCCTCTAAGCCTGGGTTGGCCCTGACAGATAGGATTGATGAAGCCTGCTTCCTTAATGACTGCCCACGAGGACATTAAATAAAAATGACATGTAAATATTATGTTTTAGTTTTAGTAAGAGTTTTACAGCGCTTGCAACACAATAAGTCATATAACTTATAAATGCAGAAGATTAGAGGTGTTACAAGAGAGTAACAAACAAACAAAAAAGGAGGGGAGATAAGGACGATAGATGTTTGATAGGAAAGAAGAAGCAAACCACACCAGAGCAGCCGCCAACCACCCACAAACATTTATGTTTAAAAAAAAAAAAAAGAAAAGAAAAGAAAAACCAAATCAAACAGCCAAAAACTTCAGGAAATTACTTACAGCTACTTTATTTGTTCAATAGCATGTCTGTACAGTGAACACCAATACTGGAAACAAGGCTGTACATTGGTAATCAATATAAAAACAACAGATCAGAGTCCCCAGGGGTGGTGGCTACCACCACGGCCAATGCCCAAAAACAGCATTTAAAAAAAAGGTTTAAAACATTTGTACATATACAACTAATCTTTTTGCTAGACTTTTCATGAGAGCAGTCAATCGGCCAAAACTTTTTTGTTCATTCTGAAGATTCACGCGTGATGGTTGGGCAATTTTTTCAACTACAGAGTCAAGTATGATGAAAGAAAGAAATATTAGCAATGTCAAAATATTGGAAGGAATCTGAGAAATATTTAACCTGTGGTTGTCTAGATATTTCTATTCATCATTACACAATAAGTCTCCATTTTCAACTTTGACCTCACAATTTTTCTGACCAGCGATTTCCTCCCTTTCATTACTTTTAATTCAGCTTTTCTTTTCTATCACATACTTGAGGTCCAGAAACGAGCCAGGACAAAAACTTATTAAAAAATCAAAACAAGCCCATAAACAGCAAGCAAAAAAAAAACAACCCCATTCAACTCAATTGACGAACACAAAATATTCAACATGGGTAACTAATGCAATTCAACAAAGTCAAGACAAACCACAATATTATACACCGACACTTACAGAATTTTACGCAGCATTTTAAGAAATTCAACATTGCAGCAACACATATGTAATTATTAGAATGCTGATGAAACATTACTCCACAATGGTTGAATTATCAACGACTTAATTGAATGAAACAATGCAACCCCTTCCAGTATGTTCCCCAAGAGTGAATGAAATAGACAGATACAAAATTAGATGGCGGCGAAAATGATGATGATAATCATGATTTGACAAAACGTACTGGAAAATGAGGCATGCACAAAATTTTAATAAAACGAAAACAGATGTGACAGGCGAACTGGTGGGACATCCAAAAGACAAACCCAACAAAACTCTGTCAATGTGATAGAGCAACTCCACAAGCAGACGACACCAGATACCACACAAAAGCAGCAGGAGAAAATGTTAACAAGCGACAGCCTCAGCTCGCAAGACACTACCACAACAGTTCTTTCTCCTCTCCCAGGACCCACGAGGTGCCAGAAGACGGGCCAAACACAGTGGAGGACTTTCACGCCGCCAGAATCAGTAAAGTTCAATTTAACTGAAATCTGCAAGACCGCCCATTTTCAGCGGTTTGGCCAGGTCTTTGGTTTAAAGAGGATGCCCAATCAGAACACTAACATATTGGGGACTTTCTTTTTCGTTTTAAACCCACTAATTTCGGATCAACCATGTTCAGTTTAAGCGGACTCCACGTAAGTTTCTCTCTCGGCAAAAGGAAGGATAGTTTTATCCTTACATAGATATCCCGGGAGGATCATAAAGTCTGCAACGTCGAAAAAGACGCCCTGTCCTCCTTGTGACATCTTTCATATCCACATTGCAGACTTGCTGATCTGGAGTTTGTAAAACATAATATAGATACCCTGTTCTGGATCTATAATATAACAAAATAAACACAGGCATCCAGTCCATTTCGCTCAGTCGTAAGTCTGATCAAAACGACATGACTCTAAAGCTCTGGTTTACAAGTATTATCCATTTTCGTCCCATGGATCAGACTATCGATGGCCCCCTGAAATCCTGCTAGAGGGCTTCAGTGTGCTTTGATTCCGCTCACTCATCGCACAGCATTATCGTACTTACTAAACAATCCAACAATAAAAATTTGGCAAAGCCTTTCATTTCAATAAGTACAATTTCCTCGATGAAAGAAGAGAAAACAAACAGGAATTCCCACATACAACATATAAAAAGAAGCCACACTATGCAGCACACTTGTTACCCACCCAACCAAAGACAGATGTGCACCCTGGCATATCTCACGGAACACCTTTTCTTTTTCTCATTTATCGTGGTTTGCATTAAAAACTTCCTGTCCCTCGATCTCATGTGACCTTATGCAGTTGCGAGCTCGGTAAAACGGTTACTGAAACAAACAAAAAACTTCCTGTCAGAGGTAACAATTCCCTTTCCAGACTTCTAACCCCCTCCCCCTCCTTCTCCATTGGTCTTTTTATAACATTAAAGTTTATACACCTCCTTCGACAAAATTTACATCATTTAAGAGAAAGCTTTGACCCTATCTGCCTGGGCCAACCCAATTTGGAAAGGATACTGCAGAAAGACCCTAGACACTCCATAAGAATTTTCGTAACACGAGGCTCAAACTTACTCAGGGCTCCAGCGTGCAACGATAAAGTGTCTAACAGCTACAAAAAAAGACGACGATCAGCAAATCTAATTTTACATTTGAAACTTTGACCTACCAGAGGTAACTTAGGTTCAACATCACATGTTGCCCAACAGTGCTCAAAAGTACGTTGTACTTCACAATAAAACTCTAGTTTATAATCTACAAAGTTGGTGCACTGATGACGTGGATAGGGCAAGGCAAATTTTTGCATTCCAGATACAGAACACTTTTATCTGTCATCAATATATCCCCATTGTAGCCACAAGTGTCTAACGGAGTTCCCTGACTGAGCTGTTCGCAGAAGCTATTGGTTTTGTCTTGTTGGCCTGATGATAGCAAAGATAGTGAATAACAAGATGGGCCACTCAGCCAAAAAAGTGTCCGCAGGAAGTATGCTCTTTGCTTCAGATGGCGCTGCAGTCTGTTTTGAAGCTCTCTTTCGTTTTTCCAGAAGAAGAATAGGAATAGCACCTCCTTGCGTGCGCAGATCGACTGCTGTTCATCAGCAGTTCGGGTACGTTCAGTGCGGAGTTTTAGTTTTTTTAAAAATTTTAATGACCTCTCGCCTTTCATTCTAAAGTCAAATTAAACGAAGAAAACCATCACCCTTTCCTCCGGAAGAGGTTTTTTGTCAGCGTAACCATTTTAAAAAAGCGTTCTTCCGAAATTTATCCCAAAACTTGCTAGTTTCACTTTGATTTTTAAAAACTCAAGTAGGGTAACTCTGTTCGCAAAGATTGCGCTTTTGTGAAGAGGGCGCCACCAAATTTTGAGGACACTTTTTTAATTGGCTCAAAGAGAGAAGTGGCCCATCTTGTTATGTACTATCATTGATGATAGTCATAGCAAATAAAGTTGGGTTCAACAGACAAAATAGTAACCAGTAGTGGGAGGCAAAATTTGGCTTCACACATGTGACATTTTAACCACTGACAATGGAAAGAAACTTTAAACATATATATATATATATATATATATATATATTTTATCACTTCTTTTCTTTCATGAAGCATGCTAAAAATAGAGATGTACTAGGACGAACATGTACGACCCACCCGGGGCAAAACAAGAGCAGACCATTTTTCATTTACATGCTAACTCACGTCCCTTTCTCAAAATTGTATAAAAATTGGTGTCAAACTTGGCAAAACATTTTAAAAACAATACATCCTGTTATTTTAAACACTATGAGCACTCAGTCTTTACAACTTGGACAACACGAATCAGTCTCATAACTACTGGGTCCTGGGGACTTACAACTCGACTACGCAAAGAAAACAGAAATCCAGTTTCATATATATGAAACAGTAAAGAACACTGCTGGAACCTCTCTTCAAGAACTTACAAGAACTTTCGATATCAAATACTAACACTTCAGATCCATGTTCTGAACAAACACAAAGGAGATAACATTGAAAAACAAAACGGAACATTTTGAAAACAAAATAAAAATGTCAATAATATCTTGCATGCTGATATGGACAGCGCACATAACGATGATGGAAGAAGCAACTCTGTAAAGTAACCAGCTAATACGCTGATGATGATCATGTTCATCTTTCCTTGGGAAAAAAATAAAAATAAAAATGAGAGTTCAGTGTCTGTACGGTCTCCCCCCTCGCCTTCCCCTGGGATCTCTGTCATCTGGATGGTGGTACGGATGGGGGTTGTGGCCTGGCCCGTACTCGTGACCCATATTCCTAAAGTCTATGTCCCCTGGGGGTGGTGGGTACGGAGGGTACTTTGGAGGCGGGAGATGGCCCATCGCCGAGGGGAGCGGTGGCAACGGGGGAGGGGGTTGAGGCGGCAGAGGGGGCTGGTCGGGAGGTTGCTGCTGCTGCGGCAGTGGTGGGGGTCGGGCCCCTCCTCGCCCCCTCATGTCCACGTCGGAGGGCGGGAAGCTGTCGGTGATGCCCATCACCTCGGCCGGCTTGTCAAACTCTGTGCCTGGTGGCGGGGGCTGAGCGCGGCCTTTGGGGACTACTGGTCGCTGCGGATGACTGAGATAGGGCGGGTGGGGGTCCATGTGAGGGGGGAGGGGAAACCGCGGATGTAAGGGGCCGTGCGGAGGTGGGGGGTGGGGCAGACTCATGCTCCTCATGTCGGGCGGAACTGGCGGTCGTGAAGGAGGAGGAGGGAGGGGAGGGTACCTGCCAGGATCACCAGGCAGAGGCGGGAACGCTTGTGGGTCCAGCGGATGTTTTGGGCCAACCGGCGCTTGAGGGGGCCGATTCTGGCGCTCATCGCGGTCAAGAGATATCCGATCGTCAACATCCTGAGCGACTACAGAGGCATCAATACTCCCAAACCGTGATGCAGGTGACTGTTTAGGAGATGGAGCCACAGGGACAGAGTTCCTGGCTAATTCTACAGTGACCGAGGCCGTTGGTGTGGGGCCGGGCTGCTGTTGCCGAAGATCAACATCCAAACTGGCAGCTGCTGCTACCGCCACCTCCTCCATCTTTGGTGCAGCAGGCATGGAGGAACTTGAGGAAGAAGATGAGGAGACAGTCTCCAACGGAATGAGGCTGGACACTGATGACGAGCTATCAATGGGGGTGGTGGTTGTGACGGTGGTGGTGGACGCAGGTGAGGCGGCTGACGGGGAGGACGACGGTGCAGAAGGAACTGATGCCGATGAAGCCAAGAACGAAGCCACCGCCTGGTCTAGAGGAGACATGGTGCTAGCCACTGCAGTGGCCGTGGTGGTGTTGGGCGTTGTTGATGTCCCACTTGTCGACACAGCTGTGGTTGAAGACCCCGCTGAAGGGGCAGCAGGAACGTCAGAGCTCTGCGTCTTCTCCACTGGGAACTTGAACCCTCCCTTCTTCAACCTCTCCAGAAGTTCATCAATTGACGGTGGAGCGGTGACATTTGCCTCATTGTCACCCTTTTCAGCATTCTCCAATTGTGCCGGTTCCGTGGACTTGCAAGAAGTGAGAAGATCCGAATCCTCATCTCGCTGATCCGTTTTCGTCTCGGTTGTCACTACACTTTGATTCTCCTCCGACTGTTCATCGGAAACAGCTTTCTTCTCTTCCGCTTCTTTCGCGAGTTTCTCAGATTTAACCATCTCTTTCTTTAACAACATCTTTCTGCGGTGATCTAATGAAGACACCTGACTGTTCCCCATCACATCTTCCATGAGAGCCTTCAGGGCGTCCGGCATCCCTGCAGGGGGCACAGATGAACCAGATGATAACGATGATGATGGAACACAGGAGCTAACAATGCTGCTACTAGTCGCAGATGGGGCAGATTTTGACGACGATGATGATGATGGACTTGGAGAAAACTGTGTCTCATCTTTCTTCTCGGATATCGAGGAAACTTTTGGCTTTTTTGGTTCCGTAGACTCTGCACTACTAAATATGTCAGCAGCTTTCGAGTTCAAGGTTTGTGTTTTCGATTTGCTGAATGAGAATTTCACGCCCCCAACACCACAATTGTCTTTTGTGTCCGATATTGATACAGTTGACTTTTCCGACGAAGATGGAGGCAAGGACGAGGAGGACAATGATGCAGAAGTTGTGGCCAGGTGTACTGTGGGTGTGACAGATGACGAAGATGGTCCAAGTCCCGAGCTTGTAAGAGATGTGGGACCAGCAGCACTGGACAAATGACTAGTACGAACAGTTGGGTCACTCCCTTGGCCGGTAACGGATGATGATAATACGGTTCCGCCAGCCGAGGAGGAGGAAGAGGAGAAAGAAGAGGAGGAGGATAGAACATTGGCATTGATGGCTATAGCAGAAGCAGATTTGTCATCCGTACCACCACCAAGTGTCTTCTGACTGGACCTGTCACTACCCTCCTTTACAGAAGCGCTGGCCTCAGAGCTTTCCGTCAAACTGGACGATGATGATGAGCTCTTGTCGGGTCCGTCTTTCTGCTTGTGATGAGCTTCCCCTCCTCCTCCCTGTGTGGTTGGTCCTCTACCTTGTACAGGGCTGCTCTTGTGTGAAGCTTCTGCTAGCTGCAGTTTACGCTCTTCCACCTATGGACGAGGACCAAACAGATGCTGGATTACGCTCATGGGAAAGTTTTGTTTAAGTCAGTGATTTACAGCTCTTGCAACACAATTATACGGAGTGCCCATTGGGGGATCAACAAACTGATAACCAACCGATCACCTGACTCATCGCCTGAAAACAAATGCGTTTGTTTTTGAGGCGATGAGTCGGGCGATCGGATTGTGCCACGATAGCCGTTTTGTGCCCTCAATCTGGTTAGCAAACCGAACTGATCGTGCCAATGGGCACTGGGTATTAGGTCTTGTACGTGATGAAGAATGGAGTTTTACAAGAGAGTAAGAAAAACAAAAAAAGGAGAAGAGATATGAAAGATAGATGTTTGATAGAAAAGAAGGACCAAACCACAACAGATCACTCACTACCATCCACACAGCAAAGCATCTCACTGGACATGCCGAAAGTAACAAGAACAAAATACAACCCTCCCCTCCCCTAAAATGTCTTCATGCATCATGACGATCACAGCAAGCCGTTTCCAGTACCTGTAAGAACAGAACACTAACCCCCCCAGTTACCTCAGACCGGCACAACACGCCAAACACATTTAAAATGGTGCGGGGAGATGGGGGAGAGGAGAGGCACACGTGCAAGCAACAGTACAATTCTACTTCTACCAAAGATTCCACTAATAATAATAGATAGCATTTGTACAACGCAAATCCCTGCTCAACAGAAAGCTCTATGCGCTTCAGAATCTATACTATTACCCCAGCAGACCTGAGACCATTCTGAAACAACCTCTACTTCCTGGGAAGCATACAGTGCAAGCAGCCATTTATAGGCGCTAAAACGCTAACATACTGACAAGATCTTTCGCTGTCTACGTGACGTCTTACCTGCTTGGTGAGCTCCACCAAAAGCTTCTGCTGCTCCTGCGGTGTGCTGGCCGTGGCCAGGGCTCGGACCATCAGGGCAGAGATCTCGCTCGGCTTGTTGCTCTGGGCCATCTGCTCCACCAGGTCACTCGTGGACTCTGTCAGAAATGTGAACATCATTTGTCAAGATGGTGTTTGTTTTAGTAGAGGTTTTAAGGCGCTTGCAACTTCATAGGGTCAAATGAACACCAGAAGATTAGAGGTGTTACAAGAGAGTAACAAACATTAAAAAAAGAAGGGGAGATAAGGACGATAGATGTTTGATAGGAAAAAAAGAAGCAGACCACACCAGAGCACCCGCCAACCACCCACGTCAAGATAGAGAGAATAAACATAAATAAAGTTTCTGTTTTTATTCGTTCCCTTTGGGAAACTTTGGTTACGAAGGGCATACATTCAATAGCACTTCCACAACATTTTTTTGTTTGTGAACAAAAATTATGTTTTTTGCTCAGTTTTATAACAAACATGGAGATCCAAGTTGAAAACTAGCAAGCTATCATTTCGACAATAAACTTTAAACGTACATCATCAGAGTGACCGTTAAGCTCTTTGCAACTGCTATTATGTGCAGATATGAGTTTGATCCTCACATTAAAAAGCTATCTTGTGTTACATTCCACTAAGCCAAAGTTGACCCCTGGCAGGCCGGGCAACTCCTAAATAACCTAAATTCGATAACAAGGCTGTAAAACATCAGAAATTAATATCTTTAAAAAAAGGGAAAAAAAATTCCACAAAGAGTTACCTACCAGTGGCAGCGTTCAAAGAAGCATGGGATGTAATCTCACTGGCTAAATAATCTAGATTTTGTTGATGGAGTGGTAAAACATTTGAAATTAGAATTATTTGAAAAAAAAACAACCAACTTTCAAAAAACAGCAAACCTACCCGTGGCTGCGGCAGAAGTACGAGACGTGATCCCGCCAGCCACAATTCCTCCCTCAGCCTTGGCAGCCATCACACCACTGACACTGGTGGCCACCAGGCTCTCCATAGCCTGGCACACTTTGGTGCCGGTGGCACTGGCCGTCACCCCAGCTGTGGCCTTGACCCCCGCTGTGGCCTTGACCCCTGCCGCGACAGTGATGGCCTCGGCGGCACTAGTGACGGGCGCGGCTGTGACAGAAGCCGGAGTGGCGGGAGTCGTTGCCATGGTGACCACCGCCGGCACTATGGGCACCCCGGTGTCGTCCATCAGGTTCTCGTCCTCCGGATCATACGGCTCCTCCGCGGCCGCCTCTTGACCAGGGGAGTAGGGCTCGGCTTCTTTGCCCGGAGAATACGGCTCATCATCGTCTGACAAAGAAAATAAAGGATTTTTACACGCCATTCACGACCCCCCCCCCAAAAAAAAATTAAGATAAACTTAATTCAGTAAGTGAAAATCAGACTTTCCAAGATGAAATAAATACAGCACTGGACCGAAGTACGATTTTTACAACCCTCTCAAAAAAGGGTTCACTTTGTCCGTCAAAGACAAATGTCTATCAAGGAGATGAAAAAAAAAGTAAAAGCTCATATTATCATCCGGCTGAGGAAACAAACACTAAACACAGCAATGGCCGTAGTTTGATTTTTACATCCCTTTTAAGACACATTCCACCCCCCAATATTTTGCCCTGCAGAGCTTACCACCATCAATTGAAGGAAATAAGCAAAGGGAAGGCTGGAAGTTTTATTTTTACATCCCATTCAAAACCTAAAGAAAGTTCCTTTAGTGAATTAAAATCAGATTGTCTAAGAAGAAATAAGCATAGCAACGAGTTAACGTTTGATTTTTACACTCCTTTCAAGATTAAATTTTTTTAAGTTACATTTGTTAGCAAAACCACGACCTCCGAGAGGAAATAAACACACCTATGTGCCAAAAGTCGTATTTTCAATTTTTTATTAACTCAATAATCACCTAACATCCTTTAAAACAAAAAAAAAACATTCCTCAAATATTCTTCAGAAAATAGCACACAGTCCTGTCATTAGAATAAATTAATGAATTGTGCATAACAAACAATCACTAGATTTTTCCTCTCGTATATACAAACAAGTAGGCGTGAATAACACCATAAGACCAACTACCCACCCACTTTACAGTTAAAAAATAGTACAGGCCGAAGGGCTACAACCCAGATGGCCGCTGGATCGGAAAAGTAAAGTAAGTTAAAAGATAAAAGACAGAGACAACAGTAGGACTACAGCCAAAACCTACCGCCGATCCCTTCCAAACACCTATAAATCATCTTGTCATTCCAGACACAAATGTTTGAATTAATAAAGTACAGTTGAGCCGGCTCTGAAGACACCTGTCCAAGACAATCACCTGTCCAAAAGACCCTTCCCACTTCCCCCCCTTGCATTTTTTTTACTAGACACCCACGTTCCGAAGGTGACCAGATTTCTCCTCAACAATGAGTGGGTTGTCTTGGACAGATTAGACTACATCCTTATCATCCACACAAAAACCTTTAAAAAGTCTTAAAAGGAAGAGTACATGAGAAAAGCATTTTGATCTTAAAAAAAAAAAAAGGAGAGCATCTGAGGAAAATTTAAAAACACAGTACCCAAATGTTAGAGAAAGAAAAAGACAAACCCTCCAAAAAAAGGAAATAAACAAAGTAAAAGCGAAGCGTCATAACCATCAGCAGAAGCGTAACAAATTATCTTGAGAAAGAAATACCAAACACCTTCACTTAAAACAGACAAATAATGTGCAATACCCCCCCAAAATTACAGATTTTCAAAAGAAAAACAACTGTTTTAAGCAGAGAAAGAGCCGGCTCCAATTTCTCCTGTGACCACATCAATCCACAGGAAGCTTGCAGTTTTTGTTTTCTAAAGTCGCCTAGCTAGTGAGGACACTCTGAAACACTCCAACAACTGACAGTCAGAAAGGTCAGCTAAACTTATGAGGATTGCAGGGTGGAAAAAAACAGCCAAGTTACAAGTTTTTTATATATATATTTATTATTTTATGCTTCATGGGGGCTTTATGATGCCACAGTTCAAAATATAGCAGTCCAAAGGGAGCAAAAACTGTAGGGTTCACCTACAAATTACAAGAAGTAATTTGCAAATCATTGATAACCGACTCTAACCATCTATGAAAAGTGAGAAGAAAAAAACCCAACAAAAATTGCAATTTATTTTGTAAAAATCAACCAGAATAGCTCAAAATTATTTTGTTTTTTTTAGTTTTAGTAGAGGGTTTTACAAATTTTGTGTAGTGTTCATGGTACATATAGCATCACCAACTGTAGCTACAGCTGTGAATAACATAAGACCAAAAAGTGTTTAACCTAATTTGACAGAAACACAATCAGAGTCTGTCAAAGATGATTTCTTTCTTAAAAATATGAGGTTCCTAACTTTAAAAAAATAAGGTTCCTCAAAATCACTGAAAATGATACTGCTCTAGTTTCCCAGCAGACTTCACATGACCTAAAAGAAAATCATGATCGAACCATTCTATGCTGGCTCACCTTCATCCAATTCTTTGGGCTCTGCCTTCTTAGGATGACGGTGATGGTGGTGATGATGAGAGTGATGAGAGGAGTGGTGGTGGTGATGATGGGGTTTCTCGTTTCCATGGTGATGCTGTTTCTCTTTGCCGCCGCCACCACCACCATCCTCGCCGCTGGGAGCCTCAGCTGGGATACTACTTTTATCCTTTATATCTTCCTTATCTTTCGACTTAGCGGTCGGTGTGGGTATGTATTCTGCCACTGGTTTGGTTACAGCTGTGCAAATCAAGCAAAGGAGAGAGAAAAAAAAAATGCAGTGTCCCATCATTCTCTGGAAAAAAGAGTAGTGCTTTCCCAAACAGTATTGGTTTGTGCAAATTTCCATCTCCTTGTCCAAATATATGGATGTGCATTACAATAAAGGTGTCGATAGAGAAGCAAAACAGCCGCAATTACTTTATTTTCGTCACTTCCTTAGACCAAAGACACACAGTATTAAATTAGTTGTAAGCAGCTTGATATCCTCTAAAAAAATATTTCTGAAATTCACTTTTCAGGAACAACTTACAAACAAAAAATTGGAACAAAAATGTAATTTTGTTTTAGCAGAATTGCATCCCAGCAAAAAAAAATGTCATTACCAAATGCACGAATAATTTTAACAAATAAGTTGGTTTATGACATCATAAATTGGGAAAGGGGCACATCAAAGATTTTCTCTGTCGCGATGTACTGCAAAGCTCAGCGCAGAGTAAGAAGAAAAATGGTGTTCTGAATGGAGGATTAACCCCCCCCCAGTCTTTCTGATACCTTACAATGACATGTCGTAGAGCATCAATAAAGAACAAAGAAACATTATCCTTTTTTCTATTAATTGACAAATTATTGGTCTGAAAAAAAAAACACTTTTTCCAAATAATGAGAAGACATAATAATCAATACTAAGTTCTAGTCTTCAGAACCAACCAGCTAGAAGTCATCTGCATACTTGATGGCCAGTTTGATTTGATGTATGCACCCAAATCAACACAAAACCATTTCAATTAGAAAGTACCCAAGCTACCCAATTATCAAGTCACAAGTACTACTGACTACATCATAGTTTATAACCAGCATACTGAGATGCTATATCGTTTGTTGTTTCATTGGCTTTCATATGGCATATCAAATTCCTTTGATGAGCAGACCAACGATCAGATTCTTTTGCACAATGCTCTTCCCAGCACATATTTGTGATAAATTTTGGAAAGACAGACTGAGTTTTTATCAAAAAACAGTTCTGTAATTTTGGACATTTAACATCAAAAGCCGGCAACCATTTACAAGCATACACAGCTGGGTGTGGCAACATTACACATTACTATACACCAAGAGAGAGACAGCTTTCACAGTACACCTTCAAGACAGCTGCCATAACCATTTTAACTCAACTGCCGGTCAGGCCTTCCGTAGTTATATGGGATGCGCGCTAACCGATCCAGTCACTTTGCGCCCAACCTTTGACCCGCCGGCACGTCTACCTGTTCTCCGAGAAGGAGGCACTAGTAGCGGCTATTTTGTGCTCTACACAGTGGATTATATTTTTTGTGTTAGTTCCCCTGCCCCTTGTTTTCCGAAGCTGATTTGGTAATGTAGAAAACTTTTATATTTTCTCTTGCATAAATTACTTGTATTATAATACTGCTATAATATTTGTTACTTGCTGACATTATCACCACAGCACATCGCCCTATCCACGGTCTCGGCTTCCACAATTAACCTGGTACCAAACACAATAATGTCTCAGTGACTGCATCTTCTGCCTTCATCTACAGGATTTAGATCAAAAGGAGGCAGGCTCCTCTTTTCCTCCCTATCAGAGTACCACAAAGCATCACAGAAAAAAAAGAATGGAAATATTTGAAAAGAACGTCTTCCCCCAAGAACAGAACTTAGGCCATTACATGCCATATTCTCCCTATCTGAAAAGGGACACAGACAGATGGAAACAACTGATAAAGCCAACTTCACACACAAGAATCAAACCAACATTCTTATCATACAACAGCAAAGAGCCAGACCATTACACTACAGGTACCAGTACCAGACACTAAATCTCAGGTGCTCGGGTGTGGTTTGCTCCTTCTTTCCTATCAAACATCGCTCCTTTTCTTTGCATTTTACTCCATAGCAAAAAAACTAATCTTCACCAATTCAATGACCTAATTTTGTTGCAAATTCCATAAATTACAAGAACCTAGTAAAACCTGAAGCATCCTCACATAGGAAACTACTTTATACAACTTGTATTAATGTGCATGACACCTCACAACAAAATACATTTAAAAGAGGGGGTGGGGGAGGGGGAGGAGCGAGATTCTTCTTCCTCTTGGGTTTATAGCAGTAGGGCATGGATTCCCCTGGCTTGCCAACTTTTTCAAAACCCATGCGAGGACACCAACATTTATAACATCAGATTACACAACAACAAACACAATGACATCAAGTGAGACTGTTTTTGGTGCAGTGTATTTGATAAGGCTTTCAATTTTCTGACAGCCAAATCAGGCACAGTCCCCAAGAGCTTCAGCCTGTTTCTCAGATCTTTTTACACTAAAACACTATGGTCTCTCTGCCATGCTGCTTGCCGAAGTTGTTTTGGTTTATAACCAGGTTAATAAGTCATGTACCCATCCTTTGTTAGATCTCCCCTTTCCCCTCTTGCCTCCTATCTTTGCTTCAATCATAAGTTTCTAGAGTAAAAAAAACATGGCTATTGGGTTGGATAAGTGAAGAACAAACAAAAAATTCCAAACCCATTCACACAACAACTAGAGACAAAATTTATTTCGAGGTGCAAGCTGCCAGCAACCTCTGGTAGCAGTGCGGAAGCCCGAAAAATTAGATAAAACCGGATGAAATTGTCAACTCCAAAGCCAAGACTTTACCCGTCTCAACCCGCAAGCAAGCAAATGTAGAGAGAGGGGGCAAAAAAGGTAATAAGTTGTTACCTTTAGTTTTGACTGAAGGAATGTACTCCGGTTCGTATTCTTCCGGCTCAGATTTGGCCTTGGTGTCTGTTGAGTTGCTCACGCTGTTGCTGCTGCTGTTGCTGCCAGTTGGGCTAGCTTTGGGCTGATGAAAAAAAGTTTAAAGTCTTCTGCTGATTGAAAGATGGTTTAAGCCAAGTAAAAATACAAGACAATCTGATACTACAAATTAAAATACAAAAGTTTTTATTAAATTTGTCTCTGTTGCAAAACTTTGTGTAGTGGGTAGTGGTGGTATATTTCAAATTCCTGAGATTAACAAAGGATTATTCTTTTTCATCCTTGACTTATTTAGCTTGTACTCATAAAAGTACATTAGGAGAGTACGATGGAGGTACTGCCTCTGGGTCTATCTGAGGACATTAACACCAACTCCACCCCCCCCCCCCAGGAGCATAGTCCAAGTTTACCAAGAATGCACAAACGGCCAACTTTGCTGGACTCCCCGTCTGCCTGTAATAGGAAACTCTCATCAGAAAAACATGTCCTTTGTTAAAAAACTAAAAAGACAAACACCACGCGTATTTACGAAGCACTTACGCTGGATTCTTTTTTCTTGGCTAATTTAGCCAGCCTGGGGTCCCTGCTTACACCTGCTGAATTACTGCTGCTGCTGCTGCGTTTGCTGGTGCTCTGGCTGGTATGTTTGCTGCTGCTACTGCTGCTGCTGCTGTTGGACTCTCCGTTGTCAGAGCTGTGCTTGCCCCTCTGACGCACCAAGATGCCGATCAGCATGTGAGGTCGATTTTCCTCCAGGCCTGAGGGGTCAAACATTTGTTTTACAATTTTAATGAGGTTTAAATATATTGTCGTACATGGCAGGCTAACCTGACCTACATCTTGACAGAATTCCTCAGCTTCAAACCGCATACACAGAGGGCGATGTTACCAGTAGCATCAGAAACAAAAGGACAAAAATACTATATAGCAGGAATCCCCAAAACTATTGAAAATTGTCTTCATAACCATATTGTGACTCATACATTTTGAATGTAGCTGGAAATCACAGAGTTATCACAACTCACTCAGAAACATTTACAATCATCATTATCACCATCATCACAATTTATTCACCAAACATGACATTGCCTTTCAACTGCCTCAGCTAATTTGTGTAAACACGTTTTGATTTCCACCCCAGTTTACTATGGCCTTTACCAGAAACAATTGAACAACTACAGTTGAACTTGCTCTAATAACCATCTTTCCAAGACAACCAGCTGTATAAACAGCCACTTCCAGCTTGTGGTTTTTTCTCTATTATAATGACAATGTCCAAGTAGACCACAGAGTTGTGAATGAAATCAACTTGTGTGTTCTAGTGCTCATGACCTAATGCAGTTGTGAGCACTGTAAAACTCTCACTAAACTATCACCTGTCTAAGATGACCATTTTACTCCTTGACAATGGGTGATCATCTTGAGAGAGGTTTGACAGTAATTTAGAGCCCAAACTTAAACTTTTAAGGATCCCAGTAAACATCAAACTGGGACAAAGGACACCCCCCCCCCCCTAAAAGACTCATAAAAACATTACCTGGGCCATCGAACGGCAGGAGAGTACGAGGTATTTTGCTATGCGATGCAAGGGGCACCACGTAGAAGTCTTTGATTTGCTTGTTGGGATTGCCAGCCACACCACAACGGCTGCGACTGTTTAAGTACGAGTACAGATGCACGTAGGCCACCTTCTCATCATCACTTCCCGGGATAAAGCGGATCACTGTCAGGTCCTACACAGAGAACAAACACGTGGAAGATTTAGGCTTAGAACAATCTGAGTTTAGGCTGAGAACAATCAAAGACTTTCGTGACAAGGGCCGGAACTGAAGCTGGCATCTTATTAACTCAACAGTTTTTCAAGCAACTTTCATAACTCTGATAAGAATTATTTTCAATTTCTATATTTGTATTATTTAAGAGAACAGCATAAGTACAGTGAAAACGTCAGAGGGACTCTCAGAATGGTTCGAGATAATAACCGGTGTAAGACAAGGTTGTGTCTTATCACCACTACTATTATGGATAAAATTACAAAAGAGGCCAAAACAGAACCAGACGCCCTAAATGAATTACTCTTCGCTGACGACCAAAGCCTGGCATACAAAGATGAACAAAGTCTCCAACACCACACCACAAGATTAAACGAAAAATGTAACAACTACGACATGAAGATCAACAACAATAAAACAGAGACAATAAAAGTAAGCAGAAATCAGGACCACTCAGGATACACATCAACAACAACAGTCTCAGACAGGTCCAAGAATTTAAGTACCCATGAAGTATATTCACAGAGGATGCGCGACTGAACAGAGAAATTGAAACACGAGTGTTGTGGACGCAAGTAACGAGATATTCTCGGGGCGCGGGTTCCCGTGCGGAGTGACACGAAGATCTCGTGCGATGAGAGGATCTTGCATAGAAGAGTTCAGGAAAGTGTATATAATCAGCCAGTCACGGCTTTCTGCGGGACAATCGGATGAGAGAGAGTAGGGGACAGAGCCTTGGTCGACTCACTGCAGGAAACATACAATGTACTACATTTATTGAAATTAAATACTCAACAACCACGGAAAGAGTTTTCGTTTATCATTTATTATGTCGTTCTAACTTGTGGTGTAGTGCTGTGTTCTGCAACAACGAGTATAAGAGGCCAGTAATGTTAGCTACCAGCTTACTCCACTACTGAAACATCCTAACATCCCCATGACAACAAAACTCAAAATGATCAACACCATATTCATCCCAACACTCACCTACCAATGCCAAACATGGACCACGAACAAGACATTGGAGCAAAGAATTACAACATGTGAAATGCGATGTGTTAGAAAAGCAGTAAACAAGACCAGGCGAGACAAAATTAGAAACTCGGTAGTCAGAAAAATGGTGGGCACAAATGATGTCATGCATCACATCCAACACCAAAGAATCAAATGGTTCGGACATCTCATGCGATTACAAACACACCATCCAGCACCGCCTGCCTACATAAAAAAATTCAATTGCAACAAGGCTAGAGGGCGACCGAGAAAGACTTGGATAGATGGAATAAGGGAAACACTATCAACTCACTGCATCCCCCTGACCCAAGCTCTCCGGCTGGTGGCAGAGAGACATCTCTTTCTTCCCGCGACACCCAAAAGGGTATAAAAGTAAAAGTAAAGTATTGTTTCTTGGTAAACCAACACATTTTCTTTCAATGACCTGAACTGAATGAAATTTGATCTTTGTCAAGAAAGCTCAGTCATGTTCATGGCTTAACAAGACAACAAGTGTACATTTTTCTTTCTCTCTCTCTCTTTCTCTATACGCGCGCGCTCTCACACACACACACTGTATGAATGGTTGACAATACGCACCCCAGTAAATTTACGATGGAAACAACTGTCAAGGCAACATTTTCCTTTTAAAAAAAGGATTTTTTCTAAAACCCCAGTAGAATGAAAGTGATTACAGAATCCCTCACCTTAGAACCAGCTTGACGAATCTTCGACAAGTAGTCCCACATGTGGTCCGGTGAAATTCTTCCCATGATGTGGACTGTGTCTGGCATGGTCTGTAGAGAAACAATTGAGGGGTTCATGAGAGTTTCATTTTTCTGTGTCCTTTGCTTAATCAATACAGAAAACTGGACTCTGGGCCTGCTTGACTGAAACTAGAAGGGAGAGAGCTTAATCAGTTGCTTCACCAGTCTGTATGAAAGAAGAACCTATACTGCAGTCCAAAGGCAGAGTGATATAACTGCACCTTTCACGATTTTGAGGAAAAAACCTTTGAAAAACTCTTGACCCTTACTGTGTCATACTTAGCTTTACCACTCTGAAAACAATTATTTTGGATGTAAATATGGGGTCCTGCTTTGACACAAATAGAATATGAACAGGCTAGTGTAAGAAACCACTAAAACTACAAAAAATTATATATTTGTTGATGCAGTTCTGCCTCGGGATGGCAGTATGGATGAGAACTCATTTGAGCAGACACACATTCAAAATAAGAAATACAATTTTATCTATGACAAAATTTAAAAAAAGAAGACTGCCGAGGTAAACCAAGGTTTATTTAAGGAAATTGTAACGTTTCCCACACTGAAATATTTTTTAAATGCCGAGAAATCAGAGGAAAAAATCGGACTTTAATTTTTGACGGGGAACACTTTTAAAATGTGTATTTCAAGGCATTTTTCTTTCATCTAAAACCCAAAAATTCCCCTGACCAAAAAAAGGGGTACAGACAAAAGTCTTGGAAACACTCACAACATGATCAGTAGGGCCAGAGACCCTGTAAGCAGAGGTGAAAAACTTGGCCACATCCAGCATGGAGACAAAACCTTTCCACAACATGGGCCCCGTGGGGGTGTACTTTGGTTTGGCCTCCAGGCCCGACTGAAGGGCAGAGTCGGGAGACCTGTGAGAGGAGAGAATGATAAGATGAAAACAATAAAAGAAAATTTGTCCATGTAAAAGGAAGTAGAATGTGAGCGTGTGGTGCGAGTGCTAGACCACTAGAGAGAATGCGGTATTGCCGATCTAAAGAGAACTGCACAGTTTATTATACACCATCATATTGATTGTCTGACTGTCATCAAAAACAAAGAAGAAAACGAAAATAAAAATGTGTGAGGAAATTTACAAAGAAAAAGAGGAGGAGATGAGGACGATAGAAATTTGATAGGAAAGAAAAAGCAAACCACACCAGAGCATCGCTCAACCACCAACAATCCCCGACTCTTAAGATAAATGATAAAAAGCTCCAGTCTCACACGCAAGATTCCTTACAACTGATATGAGTGTACGAATTAAGGTACCAACAGTGCACATTTAATATAAAAGTGTTCCAGGCCTGCCAACTTTTTCAAAACCCAATTCAGGGACACCTCACATTATTATATCAAATATGGTAACAACAAACAAAAATTGATTTTTTAAATAAAAAGTTAATAAATGAATAGAACCCTAATACGTCCTCACCTGACCACCACTTTTTTCCTAGCGGACGACGAAGATGAAGATGAAGTAGGAGAAGACACGGCAGCCATGGCGGGTGATGTCGTAGATGGTGACTCTTCCACCGGTAGAGGCGGGGTTTCTTCCTTCGGACTGAGTGGTGGGCTTCTCGGGCCGGGCTCTGGTGACGGGGATCGCTCTCTCAGGGCAGAAATCTCCTCGCTGGCCCGCTGCATCTTGGTCAGGGCCTCTTTCACGATCTCCTCCGCTTTGGCGTAGTCCTCCTTCACTACCGGTACTTCTTCTTCCTCTTCCTTAGGTTTCACTTCATTCTCCATCTTCACTGGTTTTAACTGTTGGACAACAAATTCCATCTCAGTGTTATCTGGGAGACTACTAAACTGATTTCAAAACTTTCCAGGGTAACACGAGATAACAGTGACGCCACGCTCTTCACGAAAAATAATTATTTCTTTGTTAAGATATATACACACACACACACACACACACACACACACATGTTAATTCCGGACAACAACATGCCACAGGGGCACTTGGGTCTTGTGCAGCTTGGGTATTTTTTTCCTAATTGAAGTTGGTTTTCTGTTTGTTTTTTTGTCTGTCAAAATGTCTTTATTTTCTTTTTTAATGTCAGTCTTTTCACCTTCTTCAATATTAGTCGTCTTTTGTCTTCTTCAATGCTAGTCATTTTTCTTCTTCAACAAGTCAGCTTTCTTCTCCACCAATGTTAGTAAATTTTTCTTCTTTTCCATAGTCAGTTTTTTTCCCTCTTCATCGATGTTAGTAGTTCTTGTCTCCTTTCTCCACATTAGCCAATCCTTACCTTTGTGGCAGCGGCGAGAGCAGCCTGTTCCTCAGGGCCGGGGACAATCTTGCCCGTGCACACCTTACAGTTGAGGTCAAAGAGATGAGCCCTGTGCTGGTCCGTGGTGTCTATGGCCGGTTCCTGCATCTGTTCTTCCGTCGCCTCCGGGTCAGGCTCTTTCTTTTCTTCTAGTCGCGTCTGAGGAAAACACAGACTCAAGCCAATCAGTGCCCATTTTATGACATAAAGGATGGCCAAAGGGGGAGACACTGACAAAGCTAGCAACCTAGTGTAAAACGAGATACAATAATCATATACAGTTGAACTAGCTCTTCCTATATTGCATTGTTTTCTTTATTATAATGACTGCAGCAAACCTGCACTTATCACTACATGGCATTGGACAGAAGGGCAAGAGCCCAGCTGTTGCTGGATCGATAACAACAACAACTTCATTATAATGACACTTCTTAGTGGACCACTGTCTAAGACGACCATTTCTCCTTCATATTGGGTCATCATCAACAAGATTCAACTGTTTATGCAGATACATAATCCTTAAGTTTTTCATCTTAACAAACAGATCAACTTACAAGGCGAATAAGCGGACAAAGAAAGACAATTCTTTTTTCAGTTACGTCATAAGTTTACAGATACTTCATTCTTCCTTGGGGCCTACAGGTACTAACACAAAATACCATACAATGAATAATGCAAAAATAAATGAATGGTCCCAAAGTCAACTTTGTTCGTATTTCATCTTACTTTACAATTAGTTTCATGACATGCAAGTAACCTTTTACGCAACCCAAAAAAGAAAAATCGCCTCCAAAAATACTTATTAAGCAGACAAACACCAAAAGGACACCCCCCCACCCCTCCGCCATCAGGCTGAATCTGTTTTCCATTTACAGGTCATACCTCTAATATACTCAAGTCCTCATCCTCCACCTCTACTTCTCCTTTGTGCGTCTTCTTTCGTAGCGATTTTGTTCCCATACTCTCCTTCAAGGCTTCTTTCTCTGTCTGTTCTATCATCTCTAATTGCTGTGGAAAAACAAAATAGAGAAATAATCTAAAAAAACAAAATTGAAATTCCTGTAGACACTTTGTGGAAACCCAAAGCCTTTCAAATCATGATCATCAGAAACCTGCCTTGCTGGTCAAATCAAAACTTTTTTAAATGAAGGTATTTTTAGGTCTTCATCATCACGAGTTAGATAATTTTGGAGATGAACTCAGGTCTTCTGGGTGCGATGGCGAAGCGCCTGACACAGACAACGATGACCAAAACTCAGTAAAAGAACAAAGAGCAGCCCGTTTTGTATTAAAGATCCTTTTTTAAATTTAAATTCACATAATATTCCACTGCTTCTCTCCACACGTTTACTGCTTTCCCAACATATTGGCACATAACTTTAAATCACATTGACACTTTCCAGCTTTACAATACTTTCTAGAGACAACTAAAAATCACAGACATACATTAATTTGCTACATCAAACCAATAACTTCCTTACTGATACACACACACAAAAAAAACCCCACATAACAAAGGGGACAAAGCAAAAGGATATATACCTTTATTACATATCCTGATCTTCTAACCTACGACAAAACTGTTGGAATAAATGCAAAGAGCACTCAGCTGTCAAAGCTTTTCTTTCATTCTATACAAAATACTGCCAAACCTGTCCAAGAGGCCCCCCATTGTCGAGGAAAAAGTGGCTGTCCTTGACAGGTGGATATCATTATGATGTTAAAATGCAAGGGGGGGAATGGGAAGTAGTCATTTGTATGGGTGTTTGTCTTAGAGAAGTTGTCATTAGAACAATAGGGACTTCTTTTAAACATCAATAGCAAACCATGCATGAGCTTGATTCCTACACTATTCACTCACATGCTTGCTCTCTTTCTCTCTCCATTTGGCCAATTCACGGGATGCTAAATCTTCTGTGCTCATCTGTACCAGTTTGCTTGGTTTGATCTTGCCCGTCAAGATTTTTCTAAATAAACCCTGCATAGTGAGAAGAAATACAGGTCAGTGTAAAAGAACCATGAAAAACAGGAAAGAGGAGTCCACCTCACTGTATACTTCTAAGAAGCTAAAATTGTTTAATTAAGAAGGTCATCAGGTCTGCTGGGGTAATAATACAGATTACTTAGAACATAAAGCTTCCTTCTAAGCAAGAATTTGTACAATACAAATACTATTTATGATCATTATTATCATTATTAATATTACTATTGTAACTACTACTATTAAAACTCCCACCCAACACAGCATTATTCAATATAAAAAGAGAAACATAACATTCAAACAATAATGACAACAACAACAACAACAACAACAACAACAACAAAAAATGTACCTACAGAGTGACATGAAGAATGTCAGAACTACTAGTGCCCAAAAACATTACGTCGCATACCTTATTTTTCTTATCTTTGATGTTAAATATCAGACTGCGGTACTTGGTGCGGTATTTGTGGCCCGTGTCGTTGAACAGGGCAAAGAGCTCCTCTTCTATCACCACAGCTAGAGATTTGATCTCAGTACTAGACAGCATTATGTCATCAGCTTCGTGGGCTCTGAGGAGTGAAAGAAATTTTTTTTAACAATAACACTACCACAAACGTTTCCTTAACCTACAGGGACGACAGAGAAATAAATTTGGGCGCACCGTTCAGCCCAGTTGGTACCATACCGGACAACGGAGCCGATGTCACTGGTTTGAATCTACTATGGGATGCCTTTTAACTTGGGTTGTTTTGGGGAGGTCATAAGGCTCCTCACCCACAGGCTCAGTCTTAACAAAAATGGAATTAAATTTGGAGGTCCTTCCTCGCAAACAACCTTGGAGTTGAAAGGGGTGTTAACACTTTCCACCCACGCGGCGCGGCGCGCACAGCACACAACACTTGTTCTCACGGACGAGGATGCAGATACGGCACATCAGTACTATACCTGTACCTCCATAAAAAATACTCCATTATGAAATTTTCAGCATACTGAGAAAATTGAAAGTGAGGATCGCATGTTCACCAAAAAAAGAATTAGAATCGGAACTGAAAACATTAGATTTAGCTCATTCTTCACCTGAATTCTCATTATGGCACAAGAGTAAAGCAGCATTCACCCTAGGTCCACTCAACAGTTTTCCAAAAGAATTACACCAATTGTTGTATACAAACTGATTTTCGGTCTCAAAGGCCACACAAACCATTCAGAGAGGAATTTTAACTTTAACAAGTGCATATGTCAAAAACGAGACCATTGCTACAATGTTTTTGTTGCTATATCACACCGTCGCCGATCGGCGTCCCGTGGGGGCAAAGTGTTAAACCCATACAGTGACCAATGACCAATTCAATAAATTTTCAAAACATATGGGGAAACAATGAACTTTAAAACCATTTTAGAACAGATAATCTAAAAAAAAAATATCATCAGAGGGACTAAAATACAGTTTAATTGAGAAAAGCAACTGCGTTCAACTTTAAATCTAAAAGGCAAAGAGAACCTGGTAACATATCTAATGTTGTGTCTTAAAAGGAGAACATTCTGTATCTAGTTGAAATATTCTCAAAATAAAAACCCACAAAGGCAACTTTCACATCCCATTTAATCAAGAATTTCATTCACAATGGATTCACAACAAAAGATAAAAAAAAAGCAAATGGGAAAATTCCATGTTGCAAATACATTTGCATTGACCATATTTTAACAATATGAGGTAACCTAAAATCATTTCATAACAAACCGTCTATTTAGATGTCATAAGGGTAAATTAGTAAGGGGATAAAAAAAAAAAAAATAGAATCCAAGTTTAATTCACCTGGCTGTTAGGGAATCTCTCAGAGCAGTTCTGACATTGATCCGAACTTGATTGGGACCATCGTCACGTTTGTCCTCCGTCTTTGAAGGTGTGCTTGAACTGTGAGTCGAGCTGCGACGTCTTTCCTCTATTTTCTTTCCAGAATCTTTACTGCTGTCTTTCTGCGACCTATCTCCATGTTGAGAGCGGCCATCTCTGTCTGACTTCCTGTCCTTGTCTGATGATGACTTTCTATCCTTTTCAGATGAGCGATCTTTATCTCTGCTTCTGCCATCCTCTGTAAAAAGCAAATAACGATTACAACAAAAATCGACACAACCAGCAAATAAAAATTACCGTGAAAACTGAGACGACCAGACAGATTACCGTGAAAACTGAGACAAACCAGACTAATCGCGCTAAAGAAGCAACATCTGAAATAGCTCGGTGCCTTTTCGATATATTTCACAAGCACTACTGTGTTTTTTTTTAATTAATGTTTAATTTCTTAATTAATCTTTTTTCTTTATTTTAACAAAAT